ATGTGATTTTTATGGTATCACCTTGAAGTTAATTATGGTGAAATTCTAGTGTACCTGTTTTCATTAATTTGATGTTAAAAAGGGAAACTGAGATTTTTTGCATTCCTGAGATATCTCTTATTTAAAAGCTGTCTAATCCAAGGCATTCTTATCATTTTGATCTTAGGAACCATTTGTTCCCTGCCTGTATGAATCACCTTATTTTTAAGTTATGTCTTTATATTGCCAAATTAGAAAGAAAGCTGAAAAAACATGTGTGTCAAAATATACATGTACTTTAGATTACGGAGATGAAATATGCACTTTTCAGAACTGCTTCTGATTTTCAGGTAACCACAGGGCTTGCAGTTTTTTTCCTCATAATTTCTTCCATCTCTACGTGGTTCAGAGTCCTACTGTTTTTCCTGGCTGAAAGCATATGCTGTATTTCACTTTATTAACAGAACATTGGTTATCAAGTTCTTTATCTTTATGGATTCAGCTTTAGGGAACTGGCAATTAATAATCTCTGGAGGGCCCACCATGAAGAGTTTCTGTAATTAGATTATAACGCAAAGGTTTGCTTAGTCACAGTATTTTTAAAAATTTTAATTATGATTTTTGGGCGATGACCCCAATCTTCCATCTTTTACAACCAACTGCCTTTTTAATGCTGATTTTCTTCAGTTTCTCTTATTGTGTTTATTCTCTTTTTAAAGTCTGTGAGTGTAATTAAAACCACCCTACCTTTGAGAACCTTGTGTCCTCACCTAGCAGAATAAATGAAATATGGATACAAAGACTGAGCATATAAATTACCTCTAAAAAAGAAAATGCCTTCTACTTAAAGCTTTTTGATTCCCTTTATTATTTTTTTTAAATTCTAGAGCTTGATGGCTATTTTCTCTTTAGTCCAGTGATCTTGTTATTAAAGCATCCTTATAAAGGTAATTTAGCACACATGCCTCATAGTTATTAGCCAAATTCTACTACATTCAAATATCAAATCACTTTGCAAATGATACTTCCTTCCATTAGCAAAATAGCTTGGGGTGTGGAGGAGCCTGGGGATGTTTAATTGTTCTGAGTGACATTCTGGAATTCTGCAAAAGTAGTGAAAATGACTTTGTGTCTTTTAGACAAATATTCATATGTATAATAAAGGTGCCACTCTCAGTATAGAGTCTCATAAATCAATGACATCAAAAACATGTGCAGAACAATTTATATGATTGTGTAATTAATTCAATAGAGCTGACCTTTGACCTAGAATAAAGGGTATGAGGATGAGGCAGAGAAGAAATGCCCCCAAAGGCCTTAAGCCCACAAACACACTAGACTTAAAATCTTTGAAATGCACTGAACAGAATATATTCTTTTAAATTATTAATATCTTTGAAAATCATAATGCATTATAAAATTGTTATTTGTGAAGTAAATTTTTTAAACCTGAGATGGCTTCACATTTTATCATACAGAAACAGAATAAAGTTATTTTAGAACCGTAAAGCACTTCAGACATCATCTAACCCTACTTCCTCATTATGTAGGGGAGGGTTTTGAGGCCACGCTTACCAGGTGGTGTGGGGGTAAAGAATCCGCCTACAATGCAGGAGACGCGGGTTCAATTGCTGGGTCCGAAAGATCCCTGAAGAAGGGAATGGCAACCTACTCCAGTATTCTTGCCTGTGGAATTCCAGGGATAGAGGAGCTGGTGGATTACAGCCTATGGGGTCGCAAAGAGTAGAGCATGACAGGCGACTGACACTTTCACTGTCACTTCTGTGAGGCCAGGGGGATCTTCAAGTGCTTTCCCCAAGTCATGCCACAGGTGAATACCAGGTCAGGGCAGACAGATAATGTACGCTTTTTAAGTTTTTAGCACTATGAGGGGAAAAAATAGGTACACTGGACTTACTATGTACAAAGTGATGTAATTTGGCTTGAAGCTTAAGCAGGACTATAGCTGGGTGATTCTTGACAACATATTTACTTGGATTTGGGTAAAAGATAATGGTATTTCATGCATTTTTAAGACAGGTTCATTTTAGAACAGAGTTTTATTGAATTAAAGTTAATCTCTCTCTCTCCTCTCCCTAGCTCCAAGATAATTCAGACTTTCAACTCCTGTCTTCCTTCTCCCCCTCAGAAAAAGAGAATCATACAAATGAACCAAAACAAATCAACCAAAACAGCTAATTACAGTTAACAGGATTATCAGTTTATTTCAGATGAATTCTAATTTTAATTTGTTCTGGTTTTAATTATCGGGAAAATTGTTTAATATCACTGTTTCCTTTTTGAGGTCAGCCCATTTTAGTTCTTCAGAAAATATATTTCTTGGAGATAAATATATATTATTGCTTTATAATATTCATTTCAGACTGGATCAGATAGACTTGGGAAAAAGCCAAGGGCAGGGGACTATGTTTTACTGCGGCTATAATTCATGCTGTTTATATGTATATTAGGTTGCATCACACAAAATTAAGAGAATGATTTCTGAAAGGATTCTCAACATGATTAAAATCTGAAAAAAAAAAGGGTATGAATACTATATTCCTTAAGGATAATCATACTTTTGTTCCATCCTTGTAAAGCTGATTGTGGATGAATTCTAAGAGTGCATTTTAGCACAGGATATGACTTTCAACAGAAGAATGTATGCAAATCATGTTTTTAGTTCTTTTTAAAGCAAGTGGTAGGAAAGAAGGGTAAACCAGCCATCCTTGTCTCTCCTACCCTCACCCCCACCAATGTTATCTTATTAGAAGTGGAGAGGTTTAACAGAAACAATAATAAGGTTTTCAGTGTTCCTTAGCTTAGTGTCCTTTTCTTGAGTACTATAGGAAATGAAGACTCCTACAAAGAGACAAAAAATGACAAACCACTGTTGTTTCATATCCCAGGCCAGGAGTCTTATAGGATCCATGAGAGTTGAGTGTCAGGGCAGAAGGTCTCAGATCATTACCATAAAAAGCTCTTTGGCACCCTGTGTCATAGAACAAAGTGTCAGACCAGTTCCCATTACTAGGTGCCTGTGGTGCTTTTCTTAAATAATCAGTCCCATTCAGAAAGAGATTTTAAGGTCCTTGATCGTCAGTCTTTCTATTTCACAAGCAGTAATTTTTTTAAGGCTAAATGGCACTGGAGGCAGAATGTTTTTGAAGTAATGTTTAGAAAAAGAACTTATATCCCAAAGTTGGCCTGATTATTTCTCGTTTTTCCTAAAGGTCAGATGCAAGCTCAGTACTGAAGGCCCTGAACTTGAGCTTGTGGACAGAGGCAGGCAGCGGCTCACTCCAGCTCCACGTTCCAGCAGGGGAGGGCCTAGGAGCTAATAAACAAGTGGGCGTCAATTTTAGGATGGCTGCCGAATCCCAAAGGGGAAATCAGACAAAGCCTCCTTTGCCCTGCTCTGGCCCTACAGCCTCAAATATGGGTGCTTATTTTTCTTCCTTAAACTTTTTAAGAGCATGAAAAACCTAGTAAGTGAAGATAGCCAAGATAACATTGCAACTATGCTATATATAAATGTGTATCTTTTTCGAAAGAGCATTTTCAGAGTCCCAATTAGAAAATGTGCTTCACCACTTTACTCTGCATATGCCCCAATGAATTCCAAGAGGTCACAGAGGCAGTGAACAACTTCCCAGAGTAGAAGAGCTTGCTCTTTAAAGAGCTATTTTTAGCTTGGAAGGGGGAGTGTAGGCCAGGAAGTGCCTGGCAGGTATGTCCTACAGCAGGGATCTAAACTAGAGGCCTGCTTCCAGGACAAGGTATCAGTGAGCCTCCTTCTGGGTTGCTCTAGGAGAGGGCAGTTTTGCTGATTGTCACTGCTGTTTTGGGGGGTGAGGGGTTACCAGCTTTCCCCAGGGGAACTCAGCCTGCAGTCCTGGGAGGCCTCTTGTGTAGAGGGTACACTGGGTCTGGGCCCTGACTGACCTGACCCGGAACACTAGAGCCCGAGGCATCCAGGAAATGAGAATCAGAGACTCATTAAAAATCACGATTCCATTTTGATGGTCACTAACTAGGGTTCCTAAGGCAAATTTCAAACCAACACTTACATCGAATTGTTATCCTTCAGAGTGCACCTTTCCAGGCCGGGCACCAGTGACTTGGTAGGCTTGGAGAGGTAGCAGGCGAGGTAGGAGGAAGAAAAATGTCCCCAGGCGCACTTGGACTAGCGGACCGAGTCTGGACCCCTTGAGGAGGTGCTGGAGGCCCCACTGGCAAGAGAGGGCCTGGTCCTAGGATGTCACCGGACATGGTCGAAGCTGATCTGAACGAGTGCGATGGACAGGGTGAAGGGGAGAAGACGAGGGAATGGAGAGGGTGAGGTAGAGACGCATATACAGAAGAGGAGAGAGTCAGAAATCCTGAGAGAGACCCAGAAAGGGGTAGAAAGACACGGAGGGACAGGCATAGAGTACAAGAATAACATAGGAGACAGAAAAAATCGTGAAAGCACAGACAGCAAGGGAGATATGAGGAAAAACAGTGTCAGTGGGAGTCAGAGCAGAGTCGGAGACTGGGAAATACTGGTTGAGGAAGAGGTATCAGCAGCGAGGGAAGTGGCAAACGCTCCAAGCTTCACCCCACCTCCCCTCCGAGACCACCCCCAACCCCTTCCTTTCGCTTGCCCAGCCAGCGACGAGGAGTGGAGCGCAAGGTCGCCCAGTCCTCTCTGCGGCCGCGCGCTGAATGGCTGGCGGTCCGCAGCGCCCGGGTCCTGGGGCTCCCAGCCACAGGTCCGCGGTGCCCTGCTCAGGCGCTCAGGGCGGCCGGGCAGACCTGCACCCTCCTCCCTCCGCACCGCCGGGCTACGCTTCCCGCTACTCCTCTGGCAGTCGCGGTCCTCCTCAAGCCCCCCCCGGGGGAAAGGGGGCACTGCGGCCACCAGAGACACCTAAGAGCCACTTCTTCCAGCGGGCCTGGCCCGCCGAGAGCCTGGGAGCGGGATCGGTGTGCACGGGGTACTAATTGGTCTCCGAGGAGTCGTTCGCCCACGTGCCGATGTCACTGCCTGAGTCAGGAGGGTAGGCGAGCCGAGCGGCGAACCTGCGGAGAAAGCAGCGGGGCACCGGCGCCAAGAACGCCCGCGCGCTCCAGAGCGTCCCCCAGTGGTCGGGCAGGACCGCGGCCAGAGCCCGCGACTCCGCTCCGGAGTGGCTTTCGGGCTTCTCCGCGTCACGCGGAGGTGCAGCCGCGGATGAGCCAGGATCCTACAGGCTCCGACCGCCCCACCCCCTCCTCAGAAACTCCGACAGCTTGCGCCTTCTGTGTGGCTTTTTTTTCTTCCGAAAGGCCAGCGTCTTATCGCTCAAGTTCAAGTCCTGAGGACTTGCCCAGTCTCTTCCCTTGAAGTCACTTCTACCATCCTTCGGCAGCCTCGGGAAGCAGGGCGCCTTGGACTGCTTGTCCCAGAGCCAGCGCGGGCAGTCCCGTCCTCCCTCCGGTGCCTGCCGGAGCCGGACGCATTCGCTCCCCACCCTCCCTCTCTTCTCCCTCCCTTTCTCCCTTCCTCTCTTTCCTCCTCTACTTCCCCCTCCCTCTCTTGCCTCTTAAGTTTCCAGCACCGTGAATCCAACTGTGCCAAGCCTAGGCTCGCGCGGAACCGAGCCTAAGCGCGACCCGGGCACTGGGACGCCGACTCCGCCGAAGGTGAACGAGGCAGCGGGACCGGTCCGCGCCCGAGCGTGGAGATGAAGCGCCAGGGAGGGCATGTCCGGGGCGCCGGAGACGCCAGGCCCGAGTAGCTAGCTCCTCCATGGAGCCTTCCCAGAGCGGTCCCTGCTCGCTGTATTCGCCCCCAGTCCTGTGCGGTACGTACCCTTGGCTCTCACAGCCCAGATATGGGGGAATATCTTGGGGTGGGGTGGTGGGGCAGCACGAAGGGGCGGCGAGGAGAGCCACTGGTTGGGAGACCGAGTGCGCCTGGCGGTGACCCTTACAGACCCGGGCAGGCTTCCGCTCTAGAAGTTAGCAACTGGCTGTGCCCCTTGCCTCGAAAAAAGTAGTACGTGTGTGTGCGCGTGTTATCTCTGTGTGTACCCGGCGCTCGAATGGGTAAACTGAGCCTGGCTTTCCTGTATGCAAATTGCATTCCCTTTTCCCACCCCCACCGCACCAAACGCGCGGAGATACCCAGCACCTAATCCTGGGCAGCTCTACCTACCCCGTCTTCTCCCCACGCCCCTGTCGCTCAGTCTCGCCCGCTCGCTCTCCCTCTCTCTTTCTCTCTCCGTCTCTCTCTGCTGGTGTGGATGTGTGTGAGCACTGCCAGGGCTGGCGAAGAACCAGCCGCCGCCTTTAGTCCGAGCCGCCCGGCCATCAAACACGGGCAGGTCTTGCTGACAGAGAGGCTTGGGCTCTGAACCAGCCTGCACGCGGTCCGTGTGCCCCGTCACCTCCCGGCTCCACCGCCCGGGAGCTCGCACCCGAGGAGCGTAGGGTGCAAGGAACCCCTCCACCTCCAAGCCTCCTGCCCGCCTGCCTGCGGACGACGGCGCGCTCTCGGGTTTCAGGCGCCGGATTTACTCGCTTTTGCATTTCTCCTGCCTCCCCCACCTCCGGGTTTTTTGGTCCACCCCTCGCGCCACGACCCCCTTTCCCCGCTTGGTCGCCAAGCCTAACCTTGCCCGCGTGGTCATGGGATGTCTAATTTCATTTGTATCTAGGCTGCTGAGAGCGCTCCTGGCTCTGTAAAGTGGATGTCAGGTGGATCTATGTTTGTGAAGGAACAAAGACTCAGCGAAGGCACCGCCGAGGAAGTTTGAGACGCGGGAGGATGCAGGCTGCGTGCTGGTACGTGCTTCTCCTCCTGCAGCCCACCGTCTACTTGGTAAGTCTCTGCCAATCCCGCGCCCCCTCCATCCCACCCTGGTCGCGAGGCCAGGCAACTGGGGGCGCGCGGGAGGAGGGTGAGACCGTCAGTTCAGCGGGAGCGGCGTTCCTAGCGACGGTGTTGGGACAACTTTGGCAAGCTGGTCTCTGGATCCCTGTGGGATTTTCTGGGGTTTCCTGCGCCGGTACACCCTCTTCTGTGCCTGATTCTAAATCGTGTGCAGGGCGCCCTAGACACCCAGAAACCGAGGAGATAGCTGGACGGGATGCTTTATGGGGAGAGATGGCAAAGAGAAGGGGTGGAAGACAGGGAACTCTCAGTAGTTCATCCAGAGCCTTTGAAGGTAAATCCATCCGCCTAACCCGCAGCTTGGCGATGTGGCACGTAAAGAAGTGCGGGCAACTTTATTGGGCTTGCGGGTTCAGACGGGGCAAGTATAGCTGTCAGACAGGAAGACCACAAGCGTTCAGACAGTTAAGTCCGAGATGCTCCAGCAAACATATAAAGGCTCCCCCTCCTTCTCCTCCCAGTCTCTCCTTTCCACTAGTACCCCAGTTCCAGTGCTGGGCCCCTTATTAGGGACTGGCAGACCTTGTCACCAGGGAGCAAATACTGCCTAGTCCTCCCTGAGCCGAGTTTTCTGGGGTCTGGACTTTGCACACTGTTGGAACTGGGGTTGTCATGGGGCGGGGGCTTAGAGGGAAGCACTCTGTCGTGGTGGTGGTGGATGGGTAGTTTGGTAGCTGTGGGCACCGCCTGGAGCCAAGACCCAGAGCGCAGTTTCTGGGGTCTGGCTTCAGGGAGGGCCAGGGGCCATCTTATCCTGCTGGTGAAGTTGTGTGCCGAGGGCACGGAACTCCATAACCCACCTCTGGGCCGCAGGAGCACGCGGAGGGCTCTGTGTGTTCTGGCTAGGGGCGAGAAGCCCTGCGGAGGCCCGATGGGTTGCATGGTGAACGGAGTGAGTATTGCCGTTCCTTAATCCCAAGGGCTTCGGAACCCACAATCCTGGGTGCAAAAGGGTTGCTATCCCTGCAATAGAGAGCCTTTCCCAACCGTGGTCTTGGTGCCTGTGACTTCAGGGCTGCCAGTCGAGTGAACTCTCTGTATGCTAATGAGTGTGTAAGTATACGTGTGTGAATATGAATGTGAGGGTGTTTCAGCTTGAATCCAAGAACCCTCAATGTCTGTCTTTGCACCTTTATCGCCTGACCATGGCAGCCGCGGACGCCAGAGGGCGCTGCGCGTCAGTGTCCTCGCCTACAGGACACCTTGGGGTAAACAGGTGAAAGCTGGGGCAGCCAATCCCAAAGAACGGCCTTTCTGACTCCGTCACCGAAGTCTGTGACTTCCCTGGCTGAAACGCAGACAGAATGCAAAAAGTGTCCTTCCCCTTTCTCATCTTCAATCCATCTTGCCCCCACCTGTGTCCAGTAAACCCTCTGACATTGAGAGCTTAGAGATGCAGGGCAGAAAGTTTGGCCTAAGGAAACCCAGGAATTGTTTATTGAAAGAAAGGGGAGGGACCGCAAAGTGAAAGCGACCGAGGGGGTAATATGAAGGATTCCCTCGACCGTGGAAACCCTCCTGCCCCTCTCCTCTGCATACCTTTACGCAAGACCTGAACCTCCGGACTGTTCCTCCGTCCTTGAACTGTGCTCACGCACGCAAGGCAAAAGCTCGCGGCTGTGGTGCAGTTTATTGCTTGGAGCAAGTATTTCGATAGTCTGGAAAATAATCTATCAAAAGCAGAAGTGAAATCAATACGTTGTGTTAAATTTTAAATGTGTTTGTTGGCAGTTAAACCGTTTTCCACTCATTACAACAACAGTGCTGGATTTATTCTAATGCTCTGCGTTCTCAACAACAAGCGCATTAATTCTCCTTTAATTGTAAACTGGGAGCATTTGAAAACCATTCAGTGTGCAAATTATGCTGATTCAATTACCGTTTAGTTACAGACTTCATTACCTGAATGCCTTTTGGCAACACAGAGGAAGGAGACAATTTTTCCAGTTTCACTCAAAACCATACAAAATGTGAACAATAAAATAGAGAAGGCGATTTAGAAGTCCATTCTTTTCCTCTTGGATCTAAAGTTGTTTTGTGTGTCGGGGATTAGAAACCACGAAAAACAAAAGGCTGGTGGCTGTGACCCGAGGCAGTGTTTCCAGGGATTGTAGTCCCATGGTTATTTGTCGGCAAAATCCGGAGCGGTTTTCCTAGAGGAGCAAGAAGCTGGTTTTTCCCATGAAAATGAATTTAGAAGGGTGAATTGGGCAGTCAGAACAGAATGGCTTTAGGCAAGTAAATAAGTGATAACCCTTGATTAAACCTCTAGGGCAACGAGGAGGACCAAGTAGTGGTCAAAGCTTCTCTCTCCATCTATTTTATTAAATAGCAGGTACAGTAACTGAATCTATCATTTGTTATTAGTCACACCCCACAACAGCCCAGACCTCTGTAAGAAACTGCAATAGATGCCTGCAGGTTGTCGGGAAATGCTTCAAGTTGCACTCCAAAAAGTCAGGGGTGGTATAAACATAATTTTATTTTTCCCCTTGAATTGGCACAATCCAGGGAGGAGTTTAATGAATAATTTTTTGTGTGTCTTTATGGACTCACACAGCAAGTTAAGTGACAGGGGCACCGTTTGTACCTTATCTCATAGCTGATATTACTGTGCACCTTTCTCTTTAAGACCCTCGAAACCCAGTTATATTTCCCAAGAAATAGTCACACATTATGTTTAGGTAGTAGGATTTGTTTAGGTATCTCCTGTACAACAGTATTTAGGTTTCTTCTTATATAGAGAGATATGCCTTAAATACTCCCAAATTTGGGGAGATTTATTGAAAATGAAAAACAGTTCTCTAACCAGCAGCTCGGTGTTCCATATTTAAGCTACAGTTCCCTGCTTGTATTTAGGTGAATGTTCTCAGAGTATGTTTCTTGGCCCAGGTTCTTTGAATGCCTGTTCTAGGTTGAATATTTTCAGTCTTTTTGTGTTGTGAGAGATCAGCCTGTCCTGTTTAAAATGAGAAGCTTATTTTAGTACTACTGCAATGGGAAGTTAATTAGAAATGTATCTGTAAAGTTACCTTCTGAAGCATATTAGCTAGAATACTCAAAAGTCACCACAGGGTTAACTCCAGCCATAAATGCAGGGAATTAGGAAATCTTTTTTTTTCTTTTTTTTTAAGATAGAGACAAGGAAGTCTTCTGTTTACTGAATGTTATTGAATTGCAGATTTAAAAATCTGAAGTTAGCAGGAGAGGCACCTATAGTGTAACAATACTTGTTAAAAATAAAAAAGTCCTGCAGTCTCTATTCTCCTGTCAGTTCTGGACTGATTCCAGAATATGTTCAGTATGATATAATGGGGTAACAGACAATAGCATTTTAACAGAATTGAAGCACATCCTGAATAATCTAGGGAAATGTGGTTTCTGACTGTGAAGAATGGGGGTAGGTCCTCCGTTGAGTTGTGAGCTGAAGGACAGGTATGGTCACACAGGGAGGGCACCTCCCAGCAAAAGTCAGAGGGGTCCTGCTTGGGGCTCACCTGTGACAGTTTTCAGAGTCAAGAATTAAGTCTAATGAGCACTCCCAGGGCATGGTAACAAAAAATTTACTCAGAAACTGAATCCTAGATTCTGACCAGAGGTTGAATGATGTTCCTGTGATCAAGTCAAATATCCATAGTCTATTCTGAGAAGAGTTCCCTTGTCCTCCCAATTTGCTTTCCACCATTTCTTGTAGGAAATAAATTTGCTAATGATTTAGTTGCTTTTTAACCAAGAAAGGCCAAAAAATGGGAAGTTCTTTCTAAAACTTGTGCTTAAAAAACCATTCTGATTCATCTATTCCCTCGAATTTAGGGTATCTTAAAATATTAATTCCATGCCAGTTGTTTAATAGAGGTTAAAGTGTGGTTAATATGTTTATGGAATGCTACCTCTACACTGTTAGAAGCCAGACTGTTTGGGTGAATTCCACTCTTTATGAAGATGGCTGTTAAGAAATGTGGAAACTAAGGGAAAATTAGCAGGAAAGAGACCACCAATGCTTGTCCTTTGGACTAGATATATGTATTTCCCATCCTTTGAAAATTAAGCCAGCTGCCCACTGAACATTTTAGTTAATTTCTGCTTATTCCTGAAAAGAGAAGCCCATTAACCCCTCACAGCGGCAATTCATTGTTCTCTGTTTAGGCCAGTTCTTGAAGGCAATGCTGTGAGTTACCCAACTCCACTGAATTTCCTGACTCTTGTGCTCTTGCTAGCTGAGCCTTCCCCATACTGGGTTAAACCCAGCTTTGTGAAGGAGCCTGTCCCCCAGCAGCACAAAATGAGAATCCATCAGTCTCGAGGCCTGTTCCAGGGCTCTGTAAGAGGAGGAGGTGTTACTGTTCCAGGTGTTTCCCTGAAATATTCAACTCTCCACTGATCAGCAGAACAGCTCCCTGGGTGTGTGGAAAGCGCCTGGCTGGTCGCACTTCTGCTCACTTCCAGGAGGATGAGAGTGGTCTGGGGCCTTCCACTGACAGCTTTGGAGAAACCGCTTTCAGTATTAGAAGGAGAGAACTAGAATTGCTCCAACTTCCTCAGCAATATTTCCCCAGAAAGCCATTAAGTTCGTGGCTCCTCTTTGTGTGAAGTTGATTTCCATTTGGCTTCAAATTGTTGATGGCTATTTCCTCCTTAATGAAAGTGTTGTCTGGATGAAAATATATCAGGTGGCAGGGAGATTGGTTGATTTTTTTTTTTTTTTTGAGATAGGTGCCCACTGTCTTACTTTTCTATCTGAGGGAAGATTTCCTGTAGACTACAGAAATTGACAGTATTGTTCTGGTAATAACAACCGGCGACAATATTTTCAAGAGGGCATTTGAGTGATGAAAGCATTTGGATATTGCCTTTTCAAATAAGCAATTTTCTGGGCTTTGGTTTTTATAAGGGGTGGGGGAGAAGGGACCAGGCATTGGCAGAGGGAT